TGAGGACACCTTCCTAGATGCAGATTTGTACATTTTTTAGCTTGCCGCATGGTCCAGATTATCCTCAGTCGGACTTTGTGCTGCACTTTCACCTGTATCTCCTGGCAGCCACCTTTCTTCCTTAGTACCAAGATTTCCGCTGTCACTTCCGGTGTGACTATGCTGCCTCGAGCTGTCCTTCCCCTTTCTACTTTCGTAACTCTAAAGATGTGGTGAACTTAGAAACAGCTAGCCGAGCTGTTAGGAGTGTGTGGTTCAGAGGCCCAGCCAGAGCATCGTAAAGCACTCATCCATTTCTTCAGCAAGTATCTGTCGAACACCCACCACGCTCACTGTTCTACGCAGTGGGGACAGTCTCTGCCTTGTGAATCCTCGTATTCCAATGGAGGGAGAAAGATTGTAAACCAATACACAAATAAGTGACTTCTAGATAAATGACGGGTTATTGGACTTTAATTTTTGTTTCATAGTTAAAATCAAATGGCCAGCATACTGCCAAATTACATCATCGGTTAGTCTCCCTTTGTAGCCCCTTGGCTTTGCATTTGGGAAAAGGGAAGGACAGAACCTGGACAGGGATCCCCTCCTTTGAGGAGTGATGAATAGATAGTTTATGGTAGAGTTATTAAAGAATAAAAAGAACTGTGAATATAAATAACGCTAAAAAGCACAGAACAGGGTATCCAGAGATCTGAACAGATAAGTCACTTAAGCTCTCTGGATTCGGTGTTTTTTTTTTTCTTTTAAGTATATTAATTCAGCGTTTCTCAAAATATGTTCCATGGAGCATTAACAAGTTCTGTGCCTGTTAATAGGTGTTATACAAAATGAGGGTTCTGTAGGAGGGTCTCAGCCAGGCCAGCTTTGTAATCGGAACAGGGCGCCTCAAGAGAATACAGCCCTGGGAGCTCACAGGATGGCAAGAGATGGGAAGGAGTTAGAGATAGAGGCTGCCTTCCTCCAGTTGGTAAACAGGGCCCAGACTGAGTTTCATCCCTTACCGCCCCCTGTACAAGGCCAGCACAACACTAAATAGCTGCCTTGTCTGCAGATAGGTTTGGGAAATTGCTGGGCTAAGCACGTGACGCAGACGCGATGTCCGCAGGCTTTCATAGGCTAACGTGCTACACTGAATGACTAAGAGAAGAATGTGGCATGTGGCATTTTTCTTGTTGGACCTCAGAGCACCATTTTTGTGGGACCGGTATTCCTTGGAACACCTGCTGAGAAAAATGGAACTAGATTATTTGTCCCAGTTGTTATTCTAAAATTATGTTCTCATCGGTTTTATTCTAATGTATTCTCCTCCCTTAACAAAAACTGAACTCCTCCCTACTCCCACCCCCACCACATCATCTCCAAACTGCTGTCTCTGGGTAAACATTCCCTCTGCTCCATTGTTTTCTTACCCGGGGCTATATTTGTGGGGGAACATACCAGGACACCATTCCAGAGCCTCTTTCTCAGAATTACATAAACCTGAACATCTGAGAATTCGGTTTTTAGGAGGTAGCAGTCACCAGCTTAACAAAAGGAGTATTATGTTTAAATCTATACCAATGATGGTTACTTCTCAAATAATATGTTTATTTGTAAATATGTATGTTTATAGAGCAGATTTGGTCCTTATAATTTGTAGCTGATTATAACCCACTTGCTGTTTGCTCCAACTCCTGTGTGTGAGGTGTGGAGAAGCAGCTTTCGGCCTCAACTTCCTCCTCAGCTCTTACATGACACAGACTGCAGCGCTGTGAAGGGGGCACCAGTTCACAAACTGCAACAAAATCAAGTCACAGACTTGAGTTCTTATAGCTTAAATTAGTCTGGTTTTAAGCTTAAAAAGCCATGGAAAGAAATTATATTAAACATTAAATATTATTTAGTAAAATACCAAAGGTCAGTCGGTTTGAAAAATGAACTATTGACCCAATAAAAGTTGTTTCTAATGTGAATGGAGTGGGATCATGGAAAAGAATGCCAACCAAAGCCATTTTTAGAAAATGTATTGGGCCCATCCATCTGCACCTATGAGCTGAGTTTTTACATACATCAGAAATAGCACTCAGGCTTTTCATGGTTTTCATAATTTGGCAAGAAATAGGACAGTAGCTCTTAGCTCTTAGGTGGAATATAATTGGTGTTCACATATAATTTATGTAGTATTTCTGTTAACAGGAGAGAAACTTTCTCACTTAAAAGAGTATCACTGGCTTCCTTCCCTAAGTAACTACATATTTAAAAAATTATCTTTTAAAAAAGCTTTCTAATTACAGTGAGTTTGAAAGTGGAATCCTTATACCAGTATGCAGGCTTATTTAGAACTTAGGAAATCATTGGGTATCCAGCACTCTCTTTTGCAAAAGTAGCATTTTATGCCAAATTCTTAGTTCTTTCAAAAATTCCCTTACTTAGTTATAAGTGGTGGATTCTCAAAAGTGAGCATGTGCTCAGCCATGCTGCCAAAAACATGGCTCAGTGTTGCAGGGTTCGTTCACCTACTCGGGCAGCTGCAGTCACAGTACGCTCTGTATTCTTAACACTGGGTAATAACTTCGTGAAGCAGTGCCTTAGACATTATTGAAACTAGCTCTGTTTTTGTTTTTAGTAATTTCAGCTTATGAACACTGATGTCAGTAGCTGCTGTCCCATTTGTCTCACTGCTTTTACTGTCTCTGAAAAAGACTTTTTTTTGCCCCCCTTTTGGGCTTAAGTACCACCTGAAGAGAGAAGCTTTTTCAGGCCTGGGAGACTGGCCAGTGCCCTTTGTCCTTCTGTTCACCTACTAAAAGGTAGTATTGTTAACCTAATTCAGCAGGGCCCTGACTCAGTATAAACACTGCTCAATAGAGCCAGAAAGACTAATTGAATTGTACAATACATCATTTTTCAGCAACAGTTTCAAGTGGACTGTACTTCATTTCCCAGAACACCATCCGTTTTCTTCCCCATTTAAGATATTTAAATATAGCAAATATTTAACCATGATAAATAAAATACTTGAACCCAATTCTGTCTTTCTCACCGAACCTCGAGCTACATGAGGACAGGGCCTTGCCTACTTTCCTCCCCACTAACGTCTGCTGTGGCATCTATATGGCACGTACCTGTGTCTCCGTGCCTCGCAGTGAGGTGCTAGTTATCCTGGCCAACTGTTAGTTTCCATCTGCTTAAGTAGTGGAAGGTTTCGGCTAATTCCAGGTGCCTCTTTGTGAGCTGATTTGCAGAGACTGTAAACTTCACCACCTGTGTCACTGCAGGACCCCCCCCCAAAGGATCACACAACAGGTACCTCAAAAATTGCTAATAAGGAAAAAAAAAATGAGACTTTTATTTAAAAAAAAAATCAATGCTTTTGTATCTCTCTATAACAAACTTTTATATGAGTTCTATTTTATATTAAATTACATAAATGTGTTTTAATCAGCATACAATAGCTGTACATTTAGTTATCACCTATTCATACTGCGGGGGTTTTCATGGTTGTATCTAGTTGTGGTACTCTCCTCTGTCCTATCCTTGCTCACCAAGTGAATTTCTGTTTATCCTTCTAGACCTTAGGCAGTGTGGCCTGCTTTGCCAGGGGCTCCCTTCCCCCCAGGACAGTTGATTTCTCCTTCCTTTAAGCTCCCAGTGGACCTCATCTGTATTTCTTCTGTACTAGAGGACAGGCTACGTGCTACATGTAGTTTTTATTTTAAATATTTATCTCTGATACTAAATAGTGAGTCCCTTGAGGGTAAGGACTGTATCCTATTTATCTTCATTAATAAACTTCTAGGCTAGAATGTAAAGCATAGTGGATTTTCAATTTTCTTTTTAATAAGCAGAATTTTTTTAATGTTGAATTCTATCATTACTCCCAGTACTAGAGTAGTTTTGGTGGAAACTTTTTAGAGAGGTTTTACCTTGCATAAATAGAAACTAAACCAAATCTACATATCATTAGCCAGTCCACATCTCAATATCAGTGAATTGGTATGTAAAGATTCCCCCAAATTCCCCACTTGTTACACATTATTTAAGCTACTCCCTCTGTATCTCAGATGCATTGTGTTTCTACTCTAATGACAATGACATATTAAAATCACCTTTTCATAGCCTTGATGTTTACTACCAGAAGTGGATATAGAATTGGATAGTTAGATTAGGCAGTCAGCCCAAGCTCAAAGTTATTCTAAGAACACTCCTTTCTGCTCACTAAAGTGTGTTTTTTGAGCCTGTTTTCTATGCAAATTATCGTTTTAAGCTATCCTTTTATTCCTTTTGAATTTAGTAATATGTACATGATTTACCTATTTTTTTAAATGGCTCCTTATAAAAGTAGTACAGAATATACATGTATGTAGTTTTTAAAAATGAAAAATTAGGACTCTTAACAGCAATGTTAAGTTTTGAAATGATTATAAATTCACAGGAAGTTGCATAGATAAAGGGGTCCTGTGTACCTTTCACCCAGTTTCTCCCATTGGTTACATCTTAGATCACTATGGTACAATATCAAAAAAAAAAAAAAAAACAACCCAGAAGTGGACACGGGTATCCTGGGTCTGTATAGTGCTGTGTCATTTTATCACGTGTAGATTCGTATAATCAAGATTCAGAATTAATGAATTCCTTTCCATGCAAGGTTACTTTTATAAGTTTCTGGAGGAGAGAAGGAAAAGCCAAAATTTATATTTAGTTAAATTATGGGCTATTTCTCTTGGCTTGTTCAGAAAATAATGCGACTTTGGGTGGGAGGATGGGTTAGCCTGGTGATGGGTATTAAAGAGGGCACGTTCTGCATGGAGCACTGGGTGTTATATGCAAACAATGAATCATGGAACACTACATCAAAAACTAATGATGTAATGTATGGTGATTAACATAACATAATAAAATGTAGAAGTAAAAAAAAAAGAAAAGAATGTGACTTTGATATTTAAACTCTGGTTCCTACTTGGAGGAGGTGTGGCAAGCTGGATGATTTGCCAGACTGACTGAGAAAGTTTATTTCGTAGGTATCTAAGCAGGCCAAAGAGTTTCTGGAGTACGTGTACGAAGAGCCCCTGATCGACATCCAGCAGGAGAACCCCATGCTGTACCGCCACGCCGAGCCCCTGGCCACTGTGGTGCGGCTGCGGCAGCGGCTGAAGTCTCTGCGAGCCTACCTGTTCAGCTGCCGGGCGGCTGTGGCCGAGGATCTGCGCCGCAGGTAGGTCACGGGGTCAGGCAGCTCCACTTGGTTTTCCTCTCCCGCCCGCCGGGGGAGGGTGGTCAGGTGACCTCCCTGGCCTTCACACTGTGCACCCTCTCAAGTTCTGTGGCTCTCCCTCTAGGCTCGTCTTTGACGTTTTTCCCCCAAAGTCCTCTCCGGTTGAGCCCAGAAAAAATGAAGGTAATATCTCAGCACAACTGAAGGCTTTTCACCCAGGGAACTAGTTTCCCACAACAGTGAAGACTGCTCTTCCCCTTAGGTTAACTTGATAATCACGGGAGTGTCCTCACTGATCAGTTCTGGAGTGTTTTACACTTTTCCTAGTTCTCTTTGTAAAAGTAGTGTGTCTGAACTTAAAGACATTTTTCAATGGAAATAAGTAGGTGGTTGTTCAGATCTTACTTTCCATACAGAAACAGGCGTGGTAAGTGATGCAGGCCGTGGAGGCTGGATTAAGATACACAGGCCCAGGATTCTGCCTTTTCATGTCCCCATCTATGCAGGCCGCTCTTCCATAGCTTAGTTATCACAGAGTTCATAGAACACGCAAGTCCATACCAGGTTCAGATCCTCAAAATAAAACTGTGAAGGTAAAATGTGCCTGCTCTCATCAAATTCCTTCTTTTACAGTTAGATTTTATTGGCATTTCAAGTCTCACCCTTGGCATATATGAACTAGCTTACATTTGAGATAATTGTTGATGGTGTTCATAGGTCCCTAAAAATACCTTTTAATGTTTTTTTTTTTAAGATTTTATTTATTTATTTGAGAGAGAGAGAATGAGAGACAGAGAGCATGAGAGGGAAGAGGGTCAGAGGGAGAAGCAGACTCCCTGCTGAGCAGGGAGCCCGATGTGGGACTCGATCCCGGGACTCCAGGATCATGACCTGAGCCGAAGGCAGTTGCTTAACCAACTGAGCCACCCAGGCGCCCACCTTTTAATGTTTTAATAGAAATGACCAAAAGCATACCTTAGTCATGGTTTCTGGAGGTGAGCCTACATGCAAAAGAACCTTTGGAAAATATTAAAGTGCTATAGTTTGTTATTTGAGATCCGGTTAGATCCAAAGAACCTGACATAAAACCCCAGGCATCTGAAGAAGACATTTTAAAAAGAATTAAATGTAGATAGTGAGGAATACATAATATCTAGACAAGCTCTCATAAAATAGTGATGAGAAGGCAGCTGCCATAAAGCAGAATACCTCTCAGTGGTAGTCATTCTATTACCTCGTTGTTTTTCAGAAAGCACTAGAAAATGGTCAGCATTTATTCTTATAAAGTCTAGGCAAATCTTAATTTTAACAGATCAGGGCTTTCCCTGAAAGACGATAGGATTATAGGTCTCTAATTTACCAACTAACCTAGATACAAGATTTTTAATGTTCAAAGTATGTTCTATTCACCTTTGGCTTTGCTCAGAGTTAGTTTTTCTTGTGCCTATACTTCTAGACAGTATTAAAATCTTAAAAAAAAAAAAAAAGTATCCGACATGATTCCCATGTGTAGATTTTATTTATTCATTTGAGAGAGAGAGAGAGTAAGCACGAGCCAGGTAGAGAGGCAGAGGGAGAGGGAGAGGGAGAAGCAGATTCCCTGCTGAGCAGGGAGCCTGATGCGGGGCTCGATCCCAGGACCCTGAGATCATGACCTGAGCCAAAGACAGATGCTTAACTATCTGAGCCACCCAGGCGCGTGCCCCTAGATACCTTTCTGATAGAGTGTTTTGCTTTGGATAAATATGCCACATCAGGGCATACATTTAGAAAGTAAATAGATCCTCTCTTCATTTGGATGACTAAGAATACCTATGCTGTTCTGGTGGTTTACCCCCATGTCCTATACCTTACGGCCAGACCACCAGAAAAGGAATGGAAGTTCTCGAAAGAAGATACTCCTAGGGCTATGAAAATGAAGACAGCAGTCTGTTTTTCTTTCCTCACTTGTTCATGACCAAAACTTAGTAAGTTCTGAATGGAAGGAAGGAGGAAGGGATGGACAGATGTCTGCTGGGGTGTCACTTGAGACCACCGAATAATGGCTAGTAGCCCAATTATGAGGAAGGAGTCAATCTTCGGATTTTATTTCTTCCTTAGATGTCCTTTAGCACAGTGACTGACCCATCTGCAACCCTCAAAAATAATTCTTGAATGAATGAATAGATGAACTAAAAAACAAATCAAAGCAGTCAAAAAAAATTTAGTTGGTTGTGTTTTGAGCATAAGTCTCAAATCTTTCTTTTCCTTTTCACTTTCAATGTACCACCCTGGCTTGGAGTCTCAGGACTATTGCAGTATCCTTCAGACCAGCCTCACATCAGTTTTTTCCCTCTCCCATTGAACCTTCATGTCAGGCAAATTATTAAGTATGGAATTCAAGATCTGTGCAAATCTAGTCCAGTATATTGGTCTACTGTCAAATATCTTGTACTTCAAACATGATTTAACTTCCTTTAATGCATTCTGTTGTGGGAATTAATTTTTTTTTTTTTTTTTACAACTGAAGTGCATACAATAGTGTTTATACATAGTTAGCACTCAATAAATACTATTAAATACTATTATTAATACTGCTTTACTATCCTAGAATGTTCTTATCTCTGGCTTTAAAAATCTTTGTTAGAAGTTTCCACCTAAAAGCCGCCCCTGATGCCCTGTCTACTGGAATCAGTCCCCTTTTCCTGTTCCTATGTCAGGAGAGGAGTGAGCCAGAGGAAGTGGATTGGAGAGCTCACCCTGGCCAAGGAGCCTGAGGATCCGGGGTATTTGATGCATACTTATTCATGCAGTTGTTGCATAAAAATGGGTGGGGCAGGAGGTTCCCTAAGACCAAAGAATGAGATTCCTACAGAACCCTAGAGGAGGCACATTGATTTAAAAAAAAAAAAAAAAATTGGTTTTTCTGTATTCATATGCTGTTAAAATAACGTTTGGGCTTACCATGTCTTCCCACCTTGGCACAGAGGAAAGGATACCAGTACACAAGCAGTACTTACAGGGGGCTGGTCTTGAGTTATTTCAAATCTTTTTATTTTGAAATAGAGGACTATTTAGTGCAGTAGGTCTAAGATTTTCTGGGATGCCTATACTTCTTGCAGCTGGGCCATACTTAATATCATTTCTGCCTTCTTAAAGTGTGCACTACATAACCATAGGCTCAAAGGGGAACCATTACCCACCAAAGATGCTAAAACTCCTGTCACCAGAGGCCATCTCTTACCTTTTACCTTTATGAGGAGTCTGGCGTTTTAAAAACAAAACGAGCCAACTGCACCCTTGATAAGAGAGATGATAAACTTGTCCAGAAGTAATGTTTAAGGTTCCCTTTGTTTTTGTTTCACTTGGGGACACAACATTTAAAGTGGAATTTAAACATAAGAAGAAGCTCCTAGATCCAACTAATCTCATGTAACCTTGATAGAAATGAAGGAGGAGGAGTTGATGTGCAGCAGGGAACAAAAGAGCAGGAGAAGCCAGATCTCATCTAGTTTGGTGAAAGGCATTTTCTCCTTGCCTGGTTTTTACCTCCGTATAGGAGTAGCCATTAATCTCCAGCAAGGAGGCCCAACATGCTGAAGACCTGTCAGCACCATATAAACAGAATAAAGCAAACTGTTAATATTGCTGTCGTGAGAAAACTGAAAACAGACTGATTAATCGTATTGGTGCTCCCCCACCAGAGAGCTAACTTTGGTCGTCGCCTTATTAGGGAAGTCACAGTTTGCTTTTAGGCCTGTCATTATGATGACCGCCCGCTCTTCATCCTCAGTATTCCTGTTCTTGTTGTTAAATGAATGCCTTGTTCTTGAACCCATACTGCAAATCTTGACTGGCAGGGATGATTAGTTTAGAAAAAGTCAGTGTCTTCTGTGAAGTCTAAAATGTTTACAGTGCTGACAATCCACTGTTCCTGAGGACTCCCAGATGGTGACCCTGTTGGATTGGTTTAAAGCCCAGTTAACTTTTCATGAGAAGAGTTATTTACAGTGTCCACACATGAAGGTACATGAAGAACTCTCCAGAAAATCTTAGCACTGTGAGGACACAGCCACATCAGCAGCCTTAGGGAAGTCTTTGGGAGGGACACTGAGGAGAACTGGTAGGGGGTCCCAGCCCTATATATCCCACTGAACAATAGGAATGGTAGGATGTGTGTGTAAATCACGTCACCAACGGGCACCTCAGGGCCAAATTTGGCCCTGAGACATGTTTTGTTTGGCCTTTCAGGAATGGTCTCCTGGCTTTTAAAAATTGTGAATTAGTTGCTAACATTTAAATAACCAGGAGTTTTCATGTATACACAATGAAGCTCCCTGGTGTCGCTGAGGACATCAGAGGAGTCCCTCCCTCCTGGCTAGCAGCAGTCAGCATTAGATCCTGGATGCTTCACTTTGCATAGTCTCTCCTGCTCCTGTTCTCCCCAAACCCAGGGTCATTCAGTAGAGACTACATTTCGGCCCTGTTTTCTTCTCCCCAGCCCATTTCATTTATTTATGGTGGTACCTGGGCCCATGTAAGATAATTATGGTTTTATCAGTTAAAAAGTGCTTTCCCATAAATATATTATTTGTTCCTTACAGGAAACAGAGGGTATTTAGAAAGAAGAGAAAGAGCTGTGACTCTGAGATGCTACGTGACTTGCCTGAGGTGACAAAGCTGGTTAGCAGCAGAGGTTCCCCCCCCTTCCCCCCACCCCCCGCTCAGAACCAGATCACTGCAGCTCTCCCCAGAACATTTGCTCTTGGTGGTGGTAATGGCCAGAGGTCTCTAGACTCTTAAGAGGAACCACTTCTAATTCTCCTAAAGCCTTGATTGAGGTCATGTAGAAGAGGGGGAAGGCAGGCAGCAGGGAGGTGGCAGACAGTGATGTCCCATGAGGGGGAAGGTGGGGTTGCTGACACAGGCACTCCTGTGCTCACAGTTGCTCAGTTAGCCTAGGAGAGCAAGGCATGACAACTGGCTTAGCGTTAACGAGTACATTTTCTCTAGGTCGGCAT